ACACATTTAACTTCAAATGTTGCTAAACTGTGATTGATGAATGGAAATGACAAATAACCGTTGTGACTGAGAGCCTTGTCATACCTACTAATTCCACACATGTCTGTCTGTCTGTCTGTTTGTCTGTCTGTAAGTGGAGCACATTTCTCAAGAACCTTACATCTTTTTGACTTCACACTGTGTATTGTTATGCCGAGTTTGGTGCGATTTGGACATGCAGGATTTTTCTTTTGAAAAGTTGTGAACCTGGGTCTTAAGATTGTGTTGCTTGCTTAACAGACTCTTAAATAGCCGATATGCATTGTATGAAAAAATAACAGCAGTGCAAATGACTTTGGCTACTGAAAGCAGCTTTAATCTAAGGAGTTCACAGGAGTCTATATATATCATCAAAGTGTGCTTGTACCTCGGAGACATTTTGTTAAGAATATTTTCACGGTTTAAACCCAGAGATGATGGATGCCTCAGTAGATACACATTTAAGAGGAAAACATTCATCAGACATTGAGCTAAGTGATGCAATTACCACTGTGTCCAAACATCTGTCGCAATTAATTATTTAATCACACACACTTTTTTTAGCATCTGACGTGGGCACTGAGGAAGCGTAACATGATGTGTAGGTTCACGTTGACTCATACACAGAGCCTCGGCGGTACATTGTGTCTATCCCCAACTCCCTCAGTCACCCACTAGTGAGGGCACGGAGGGAGAAATCCAGGGTAACTATGGAAACACAGCGAGGTGAATCTCTGAAGCAGGCGCCACTTTCTTGTAGAGGCCTTGAGTTAACAGGATTAGGGGGAGTTCACAGATGAGACCGTAAAGAGCAGAGCCCCTCTGTGTCTCTGTGTTTCACTCTGATCTCCTCTGCCCTGACTCAGTTGGAGAGGAAGATAATGACAATCCCAAAAAACACACATTCATCACATTGCAGAAAAGACAGAATGCTTCTTTTCAAACACAGCAGAGCTCTTATCTCACACCACCACTCTGACAGGAGTTTTGCTGCAGTGTTGCTTTAATCCGAGTCAGTAGCTCATGGGCCAAGTGTCTGTTTAAATCCCTTTCTCTATGGCTTCACATTTGCATACAGAGATGAACACAACTTACATTTTTGGCTCAATCTGCTTGTGAGTATTGCTCACCACACATGTTTTGCACATTACAGACATTTGAGACTGAGATAGTTTGGGTGGTTAACTTAAAAAGTAAAAATGAGAGGTACCTGTTAAGGCCATCTGGAACAAGAGGTCACCTAAGGGTATGAACATTTCCACATAGCTCTCCACCCGCCGCTGAAGATATAGACAATCAATAGGCATACATATGTTCAACCTTCCTCTGTGCACTGGTTGAATCAGTTTTCAAAAGAGGAGAGGGGTCAGTGTTGTTAAAATATACCTCACAACCAACTAATAACAGCTGGTAGATGGTAGGCTGTGGCTACCATAGCAACAGAGGCAAAAACGAGTTAGTGAGTGGAAGATATAACAGCTGCACCCATCACTGGAGCAACCAACCAGACTGGAAAACCGGGGGGGGGGGCCTGATGGGGTTCAGCCAACCAGTTAAATCCATCCATCCAGGGCAGTGCAAATATGTAAACTGACTGATAATTTAATGATTTATATGATTTTTATAGCAGGTTTTTCAGTTCAACTCTTTTTTCCTGCTTCTGCATGTGAACTGCACCACTCAGTTCTCTGCATGTGTAAGACTGCACCAGTGTGACATATAACTGTGTACTGCTCAGCCTGTGAAAAACCATCAATAGGATAATCCTGGAACAGCTAGCAGTAATGGGCTAAACAATGACAGAATGCCACCAATACATTCCACTCCCTCCCTTTGGCCCTCTTCAAAGCTATGCCCCCAAAACACATGAACATGTACTGACTGACAATTAATAGAAACCAACTTTTCTCTGACTTCGTGTTTATTGCAGTCCTACGAGGGCCATAAACACCAGTTTCTTTTCTTTTCTTTTCGATTTTATTGATGCTATTGGGACGAGAAGAGGATTTATACAAATAAGATAAAATGGGTGGTCTTCAAATGATATAGCAATTTTTTTTAAATTGTCAATTAATGAAGGAACGTGTCAATCAGTGTAACATCGTGACTCAGGTAGTTTGCTCTTGCAGAAGTTGTTGATAATGGGTTTGGGCTCGTTGTCCTGATGCAGAATGAATTTGGAGCTGATCCAATGCTCCCATGAAGGTTATTGTATGAAAGATAAAATGTCACCTTTTTTTTATGGCTTTTTTAAACTTGAGCCTACAGATGAATGACATCCAGTTCAGTCAGGAACACTTTGTCCTGATTCACCGTTTAATGGCACAGAGGGGATTCAGTTATGATTGGCATTCTTTGGATGTCCCCTGGATTAGCAAAGTAGCATGCTAAGATAAAACACGGAACATGTGCAGAACCCCCCAGTGGGCGTAGCAGGCAAGATACATTTGTTCAAGATGAATATCGTTTAACACGACCATGTTTTGACTCCGTGCTAAAAGGTGGAAGCAAGCAGGGTTTGAGTGGCAGTGTAGCTGAGCAGGGATCAGTGAGGATGAGGTCGTACTTAAAGGGACCGCTTTGATGAGAGAATGGGTTCTGATTGGTGGGTGACGGATGAGCACCCATAAACCTATTGGTAGCTGACAGCTGAGCACATGACTCCGTGTCCTGCATGAACTAACGTGATGCCTCATTAGTAAGTAGTACTTATACATCCCTTAAAGCTTTAGGGATTTCTTTTTTTGTTACAAATTGATGTAATATATCTGTTGATTTTTGTGCCACTTTGAAACTGCTTACGAATACATAGACAGCACTATTTTCCTTTTTATCACTATCTAAGAACAACAATAAAAAACAATAGTTTCTGTGGACAAATATTTCATGTTAATCAGTTTAATCTCCCCAAAATAGAAGTGAATCATCATCAACATGGCATCATGACCACTTTGATGTCTCATCGGTCACACATCAACAAATCATGTTGACTCCACTCCTCTTAATGTCCACTGGTGTTTGCTGTGTGATAGAACATCAAATTAAACTTTTTTCTTCTTAGAGCTGATGTAATTCCCTGAAATCCAGATTTCATGCTACTAATAGAATCGTAATGGCTGCCCATAATAATTCTGTAGCAATCATTTCTTACCTTGTCACTTTTAGGATACATCTCATCTGCACACTGGAATCGGAGTGGACCATGACTTAGTAATATGAACTACATACATGATGCATAATGATTATACAAATAGTAATTATGCTCATTACAGCCTATGATATGGGCAGTGGGCTGGCATTGGATATAATACATTGATGAGCTGAAACATTACGACCACCCAAAGATAAAGTGAGTAACATTGATTGTCTTGTTACACTGGCACTTATCAAAGTGTGGGATATATGAGACCAGTGGTCGCCAAACAGTCGATGGCGATCGACCGGTAGATCTCTAAAACCTGAGTTTGAATGTTTCCGGATGAATTTATGTCACAAACATAAATGGTTGCATCACTTTCAGTGTGCGTTTGAAAATAAAAGCACTCCAGCGTTTCTGTTGACAGAATCCATTCTTTTGTTTAAAAAGTGGGTTTTATTGTGAAATATTTGCAGGAGCAGAAGATGCAAGGCTTCATACTGTATAGTGCTGGTATCTGTGTGATTACACAGGACTACTTTTATACAAGAAAATGGTTGACTTTGACTGAGTGAATGAAAATATCATTTTCACAGTGGAGGAGATGAATAACAACAAATTGGTATTCTCAGACTGTGCACTTCCACTGTTTATCTCCATCCACTTGTTAGTCAGGATTTAAACTGGGCACCACCAGGACGAGAAAACATTAGCAAACACAAGGCAAAGCCAAGGTAACACAGGCACATCCAGGAGGCATAATAAACCTGTAGTCACCTTGACTGAGAATCTGTTTAAACGTCCCAAGAAAATACCAGACCAAAACAGAAACAGATAAACCTTGTACCATATTGAATTATCGCAACCCCCCCGTCTCTGATAAAGTCGAATGAGTTTTTTCTCAGTGCTCACCCGGTCTAAATGTTGCTTAATCCCAGCAAACCTTTTGTTAGAGTGAAGAATGTTTTTAATCATTCTGAAATGGTGTTTGGTCCCTCACTGCGAGGAACAGCTAACAATTCAACAAAATCACAACTGTTTGCTGTACCGGCTCCCGAATGGTGGAACAAGCTCTCTGTTGACATGAGGACAGATGAAAGTCTAAACATCTTCCGCCGCAGATTAAAGACCCATCTCTTCCAACTACACTTTGGTTAAGTTGATGATGTCTAATAACCATCGTCAACTCTCAAAAAAAATTGAGAGAAAAGTTGAGTTGCACTTATACATGTCGCACTTGTAGTTTCACTTTTTTGTAAACTAATTGTACTTCTATGATTCTGGTTGTTCTCGGTTTGTACCCTCATGGTTGAATGCACTTATTGTAAGTGGCTTTGGAAAAAATGATACGTAATGTAAAAATGGAATTCGTCACATCTTGCTAAAGGCTTGTTTATGTTCAGCAGATTCTGAATAGGTGTTCCTTTTACAAAGCTACACCCTCATGTTCTCATCTGAAAAAAGGCAAGATGCATGTAGAAGTCCATTCACCACCAAGAGTATAGGGATGGAGGCTTTTAAAGAGGGAAGAGGAAAAGAAAGAGGGAGGAAGATGAGGAGGGAGGGTGAAAGAAGAGAGTAGACAGGGGAGTGGAGGTGGAGCCAAGCACTGTGTGTGTGTGTGTTTGTGTGTGTGTATGCATGATGTTTATTTGATGGTTATATTTCCCTTCTTGAACTCAGACTTCACATGAAGGAAGAGCCTCAGCACCGTTACCTTAATTCTTACATTCTTCATTCCACCTTATCTCCATCTTTCCCCTGTCCGGTGCAGCACACCTCCATCCCCCTCTTCATCAGTCTGTCACCATGCTCCTACTCTACAACTGTTTGCTTTCTCTCCTAGAATCGATCTATCGCCGCGGGGCCAGAAGATGGAGGAAACTCTACCGAGTCAACGGACACCTCTTCCAGGCCAAGCGCTTTAACAGGGTGAGTTTTTTCACATCTCCCTAAAACAATGGGAACTAGAGGCTGTGATGGTCAGTCCAGCTGTATCACTGGGGAACACTGGAAGACAGGGAACTCTTTAAAATGACGTTTACTCTTTGCTTTATCAGGGTTTGGGTTTTAGAGTGTGACTTTTTGAGATGTTTTATGTTTCCTGGAGTTCAATGTCACCGAGTTGTATGTTTAATTTGAGCTGTTGGACTTTATTCCACCTGATTGTGGTAAACAATGTCTACCAATGAGCAGAGCAAGAAAAAGAGGCATTAGTCAATCAGTAACCTTGAGATGCAGATCAGAACTTCAGTTAAGACTTGGGTTAAAAACTATTAACAAAAAATCCTAACAGATACCTGATCAAAATCTTATCAAATTGTTTTAATTGCCTAACATTACCTTAGACAAAACTTATTTGCAATTTGAGTTTTTCAGAAAAGTCTAATGTCATTGTTCCCTTCTTTTGGTAGGGTTGGTGATGTAATTTACATATAACAGGTTTTCAGACTCTATAAGTGTCTGTAAATGCCCTGTGGTTCATAGAGCAGCATCTTTTACAGTTTGCAGCACATGATGATGATGATATCCATATCAGGAAAACAGTCATTTACAAATATTTAACAAACTACTCAGAACCAACCCGTTTCCTGGACACGAGTATGTGTGTAGTTTACCGCATATAGTCTTTCATGCTGCAGCTACATTATATACTATGTGACAGGCACTCAAGCCACCGCTGCCGCTAAGCTTTCTGGATATTGTTAAATAATACATGATGTCCTAGTTATGACTTCTTTAGCAGTTGTCTCATGTCAGCTCTCAGCTCCATGCCACACACACACAAACTAACCCTTACCTAAATGTAATTCTAATCTAAACCCAAAAACCATTTCAAGTTGTGAGGCCTCCAAAATGTCCACATAACTCCAAAATGTCTAAATAACTCTAAAATGTCCACACAACTCCAAAATATTTGTGTTAGTCCAAGATGTCCACACACTCAGAAATGTCCAAACTACACCATAATGTCTGATGTGTTTCTTCTGAAGGAGAGGAAAGAAGTTCTGGTTCTCATGCGAGAACAAGGCTGAGTCTTAAGCTTTAGCCAGATTGTATCATGTTGCGGTATCACATTATTCTCCCACGTTTTATGGTCTGACTGTTACTTACTGTCACCTTCTAGTTTCTCTGAGATGGAAATGTACTGTATTTACTGAGACAGCTCTCAGATAAATAGGCAGACAAAGAAAAGTACAGTTCAGTCAGTCAGCGTACAGCATGTGAATCTGAAATGCTGTAAAGGAAAGGTAGCTTTAACATGACTGCACAGGGTAAGACATTCAGTGACAGTCAGTTTGCTTTAAATCAGCTTATGTGTAGTAGAAGGTGTGTTGTGGAGAATTCATTTCAGTGACATACTAAGCTTTCAAACACAGTGCCACTGCGAATTCACATCTATCACTGTTACAGTTGGTCTGGATGAAATATCTCCCATGGCTGCCACAGTCTTACTGTCTGCACCATCGAGTGGATACGCTCAGTGTGCAGACATCTGGCTGACTCAGTGCTTTGCCCCACTATCTACTCCTGGATGCGGTCATTACTGTATGCACTGTGGAGCCTGGCATGTTCAATAAAAGTCTTCAGTACTCAAAGTAAACTCAGTTATCATAATGGCTAATCTATATAGAAATATAATGCAGAAACATCATCACAATGACTAGACTACTGCTCAGTCCTTCATGCTGCCCATATACCGTATGTCTTAACTCTTTAATGGATTCTTTTCAATCCTGTTGTCTACAAAGTACATTTGTATCTGTAGCATCCCCCGGCTGAATGAGTCACAAACTAAAAGTATGATTTCTCATTCATTTGTGAGGCACACAAATTAAAGCAGAGTTCAGAAGATATCTATAAAATGCATTATAAGGAAAAATTGAGTAATATTTTTACTATTGTGCAGAATAGCTTAAAGGTCTAGTGTGTAAGATTTAGGTGAAAGGGAACTATTGGCAGAAATTTAATGTAGAATAATCCTCATGATGTTTTCACTAGTTCGTTTCATCTAAATTGTATGAATTGTAGTTTTCTGTACTCCAGAAAAGATCCTTTATATTTAAATACTTTATATTTACATGGAGGGGACCCTCTCTACGGAGGCTGCTATGTTTTTTACATTAGTCCAGACTGAACAAACTAAACACCTTTTGAGTTTTTATGACAACTGAAGCTACCACAGTTTCTTTTTCATGTTTGGAAGGAGAGGGTGAGGTGAGGGGTGTTCAGCTGCAACATGCAACTTCAACACTAGATATCACTAAATTCTACACACTGGACCTTTAACAAATATTGGTTTTATTAGCGATCCTCCAACATCAGGTCAAAAAAAATTTGTCCAGAACTTTGGGTGATGACGAAATCATAAACCTACTATAACCTGATATGTTAGGATATTTAATTGTGAACATGGAAACATGCTGATGTTAGCATCACTGTGCCTAAGTGCAGCCTCACAGATATGCTGACATGGCTGTAGACCTTCGTCAAAGATTTAAGTCTTAACATATTGTTTGTTTTAGTCTTTTTAAGTGACTGGTTGACAGAAAGAAATAGAATATCATAACCCTTTCCCTTAGAGTACTAGTATTTAAATATAGTTATAAACTCATTAATAGATGTGTAAAAAATATTCTATAGAAGAAGGGATAAGCTTTAGTTTCCTTAGATGCTGTCTTAACATTATTTTGCAACTGTTTGCATTGTTAACCAGTTGGTTTTCAGTCTTGTTGGTTTTTCTGACTGTTGTTGCTATGCCAGATCCTAAGATTCTGGTTGGCTCAATCTGTTGTATTCAGCATATAAATAAGCCAAGGAGAAGTAGGTCAGGTTTCTCCTCCCTTCTCTCACTCCGTCTCTCTCCTTCCTCTGAGTGCTACATGTTTGTCTCGTCTGCCTCCTCCCTGTCTGCTGCATCTCCGCTTGATGTTGCAGCAGAGAAAGCGGCTTTGTGGATCCCTCCCATTAGAAATAGTGGAGTCTCTTAAGCTCCACTCTCCCACATGATGGCGCCTCCCTGCTGGCTGTTTGCCTCCACAAGCGCTCCGTCAGGGTCATGACAGGCAAGAGCCACTCACAAACATGGTAGAAAATCCAAACAATCACCCTGGCTCACGGACGTTGTGGAGAGCTGGGAAGTGATATTTTCCAACGCTGACTGGCTGAGATGTGTTATCAGGGTAGAGCTGAAGTGAAATGGACGTACACAAACATTAATCTCCAGAGATTCACTGGACACTCACATTTTATTTTGAAATGTTGTTTTCCATCCCACTGGTCTTTTCTTGTCTGCCAGACAGCTGGAAGTCACACAAGGTTTAGATGAGATAGAAAGAGTTTCTGTCAGTGATGGGCAGCAGCTTTTACCTTTCCATCCCCAGCAGGGGGCCACAACATGGGGGGTAAGAGCAAGGGACTGTACCCACATAAATAAATACAACAGTGCTCAGCCATTATGTTTGGCTGAATACCATTTTGTCAGCACTCTTCACTGAATGGCCAGCACAGGTTTACATGCGCATGCTTTGTACAAATGTAGGTTCAGGAACTTAATAACTTTGGCTGACTCTGACAGACACAAGGCTTATATGCTCAGTTTTAGTCAAGTATCACAATAGTTCTAAAATTAAAATATATTCATATGTTACTAGATGATACTGGATGATAAGATCTCAATATGGAGGTAATTAATCAGAAAACTTGTGTCCTCATTTTATTTTGTCCTCCTTGCCATGGCCTGAGGCATAACGTGTCCGGGTTGAACTTGATATCTCGGTAACACCTTGAGGAAATTTCTTCAAAATTGACACAAACGTTCACGTGTAATGACAGATGAATGGATTGGGATTTGGTGATCAAAGTTCAAGGTCACAGCGACCCCTCAAAACATGTATGAATGCCTCTTTTCTGGCTTCAACCAGTGGCTAGAAGCGTTTTGTTTTCAGGTTGTCCATTCATCCCACACTTGTGGACACGACATCTCAAAATTGGTGCAAACAATTATTTGGACTCAAGGATAAACTGATTCGATTTTGAGGGTCAAAGGTTAAATTTCAAGGTTGCTGTGACCTTAACAAACATGGTTTTGGTCTTGTGAAAACGAATCAAGAAATACTTGAGGGAAATTCTTTGGTACAAACTGATTAGATTTTGGTTAAAGGTCAAGTTCATTGTGACCTCATGCTTTTGTGAATTATATATATCATGAACACACAAAGGGAATTTCATTGCATCTGGCACATTCATTTGGGCTCAAAAACGACCTGATTAGAATTTGGAGGTCAAAGTTCAAGGTCACTGTGCCTTGTGAATGCGTGAATCTTATGAACGCCAATTGCCATTTGTAAATTTGGCATAAATGTTCACTTAGACTCCCAGATTAACTGATTTGATTTCAGAGGTTGAAGGTCAAGGTGATATGAATATGAAAACGAAAACATTACTGGTTGGCGGAGGCAAACAACAGCAGGGTGGTAATGCCATAACTTACGATGTCACATGGTAAAAATGAATGCCGAAGGTCAAAATTACACTTCAGGTTATAATTGATTACCCTGCACAGTTTTACTATCATTGGTCAGTTTTCTCTGATGAGTTTTTTTAGAGTCACAATGCATCAGACATCATTTCACAGCATATGAACCAGTCAGGTTCCAGTCAGTCATGTGATCTGTCATGGTGGTAGTGGAGGGCTGTCAGTCAGACAAAGTGCCTGAGGTAGGCTATCTATAGTTATTTTATTGTTTTAACTTTGCATTTCTTTAACAATAAGGCAATGTTTTGGTGCATTTATGAAATTAAGTGCCACACTAAAGAAAAGGGTTTGAATAGTTGCTCTGATAAATTAGTATGTTTTTATTGCATGGGAATGTGTTTCCACGCCTTACTTATCTCCTGAGTTAGCAACATTCTAGCATTGGCCCAGCCGGACACTTCTCAGCCAATTTAAATATTACATTTTTTACTAACTTCTCACCTCAGATCAAATATTTGGCAGCACTAGGCAGCAGTGATGAAAGCAAATGAAACAGACTTCTTAATTTTGAAACCAGACACACACAAACACACACACACACACACACACACACACTAAAGTCACTGCCATTAAGTTGGTTGCAGGACTGAGTTATCATTTGATGTGCAGTATTTAAGTGCTTACATTTCTTTTTTAATTTTTTCACATTTTACACATGGCCTATTATAGATTATTTGTGTTTGTGTTCATAAATACATAATTTTGACTTTAGATGTACAACAATGACAGCAATGTGTACATTATTTTTATTATTTCCATTTTTTTTTGGGGGGGGGGTAGGGAGCCACTAGAGATGGGCTAAAACACTGCATGTTGCAAACCCTCACTTTAAAGTGTAATGCTGTAGCATTACAGTTGTTCAGTTGTTCTTCATCTTTCCATTAGAGCTCTTACTGAAAAGAACGTCTCTGAGGCTTTTGAAGAACCCTTGCTGAGCCCTGACTGAAGTGAAATGAGTTTCTTGTCATCACAGAAACTAGCAGAATGTGTCATGTCAGATCTTTACAGATGACCAGGTTATTTTATTGAGTTACACGATGTATCTGTCAGTGATAACAGCGTTAATGAGCCGACATCTGTGCTGTAAAATACCGGAGTCACTCAGGATAAAGTGGTTCACTCTGGACTCTGAATCTCTTTCTTGATAGAAAACAGTGTTGTCCGTGAGTCAGTTCACTTTGTGGCATCTTTGTCATTGTGAGCATGTGAGCATTAATATTTGCAGAGCTGTTAACTTGGTTCTAGACTTGTTGTTTACATGTTTGCGGGGCCTCTGCTGTGCCGTCAATCACACAGTGCTGCAAAGGGAGGCTTAAGGATGTCAGTCTGACTTTATGTGATTGCCTATTTATCAGTGTTGGGGGTAAAGCAGCGTGGAACTGGATGTGTTCTGGGCTAAAGAATAAAAGGCATAACTAATAGCACTCCCTGGTGTTTTCATGCCCGTCCATAGACTGACGCAGTGACGGCAACAGCTCTTTTTACCTCACACTGGTGAATACTTTCAGCTTGTGTGCAGTGCAGGGAAGGGAACAGAGAGTGAGGCAAAAGTATGTGATTCATTTACTCCTTAACCTCTGTGTAGAGTTAGATTAGAAATACTGAGGGAAGCCTTTGATGTCTCGCTGAAGAATTTCCATGGCAACAGAGCGGTGACGGGGACTCTTTGTTCTTCACACTGTCGGCGTGCACACCCCGTGATGAATGTTGTCGATATATTGAAGTGCGCGCACTGCATCTTAGGTCTTTAGTCTCCGGTGAAACGTTTTAGCGACAGATTTATTGATGTCCAGGGACGCTGAGCTGCAAACAAAACATCCTTGGTACTAATATAGCAGTGTAAGAGACGAGTGACAAAATAACCACAGAGGAAGAACCAATCAAAGAACTAACTCTCTGGAGACCATGTTGTGTAACAGAGAGTGAACTTCAGTACGCGAGGGAAGGGAGGAGGCCGAGCCCTTCACCAGACATAATAACACACTGTACGCAGGATAATATTGTGTGAAGGATTCAGTAAAAACAACATTAAATAGACGCTTTGAGTTTGGTGGAGCTGTACAGTTGCATTGACTCAAGAACACAATTCAAAGACCTCTAGAACAGAGGTGGAATATTTATCTGAAAATGTTATTGTTTTACATATGTGTAAGTTTGTAGGATCCTTAAAAGGAACCATTTCATTTTGCAAGACAGAGCACAGAGTGAAAGTGAAAACAAACCCAGAAATGCAACACAAATATAATGAAGGTGGAATTGCTTCACCACACAAGTGATGGGCTCAATATGTATAAGCAAGAATGTTTTATACATTTGCTTATGAACCTAACTTAAGTTTTTATTACATTTTGAAGGTAACCATTTTGATTTTGGACCTGTGGTCAGTCCTGCTGGTACCTCAGCAGTTCGCAGTCAGGCTCCCAGGGCGTCAACATGTGCAACTTGTAGCTGTGTTCTGCATTTACAGTAGATTTCAATTTTTAAACATGACCGTTTCTGGACTAAAATGCGTTTCCTATTTGCTGAATGCGATGGAAAGTTTAACCTCCTGTTTTGACGGTGGTTCCTGGAAAAGAAGATGTGACACAATATTTTCATGTTTTGTTTACTGGAAAGTTGTGAATTTACCTCAGATTAATGCAAAGTTTGTACTTTATTTTTACTGAGTACCCAAGTATTTTCCTCATACATTTGCAACTTAAATTACTATTATTATTAACCCTCCCCTAGCTCTGTATTATTCTAAATGTAGTTCATAGGATGTCATAGGTTTGTATTCCATTTTTAAAGTGTATTTCTCATATATATATATATATATATATATATATATATATATATATATATATATATATATATATATACATATTGTATATCAGATGTAAATGATACATCTGATATACAATCTGTCCATTAAGTCCCCTCAAGAGACCACTCCCTGTATCATCCTGGAGCACCTCCTTCCTTCCACCTTCTTCTGTGTGTTATTAAATAAAGAAGCACAGAGATGATTTAAAAGTCTCAGGATAAAATGTTTTCTGGGCTAAGACCAAAATGAAGCTCTTCGAAAGCGTTGAAAAAAAAAGATCTGCTCATGATCCAGAACACACCGGCTGATTTGTGAAGTTCGGTGGTTTTGGTTCATCCATCCATCCATGTGATTGTGTGTACTTGGGGGTGAATAAACAGATGAATGCTAATATTGCATCATCTCTCAGACACTCATTTATATCATTTTCCACATCAAGACCATAATATATATAAGTCCAGTGTGTGTGACTTTAAGTATGTTGTGGTTCTTCTCAGTATTATATCAGTAAATCGTACATGGATTCAAAGTTAAATCAGCGCATATCTGGAGGAAGTCTCAGGTCAGGCAGTTTGTCCTCACTGGAGTTCCTTTTCAGCAAAGTCACAGATACATGTTGGTTTGTGAGGATTATTAGGATTTAATAGGCAGCGTTACCATGACCAGAGGAGGATAAGAAAAGACAAAGAATCCAATGAAATGTGTAATTAATCTGATGTATGAACTCACTTTGATGCTGTCACTGTGTGTCCATCACATCCTGCCACTGTATATTTGTCCACTGCCGTGTCTCAATTCAGGGACTGCATCCTTTGGAGGACTTAGCTAACAAAGTCGGCCTCCTTCATGGTCCGCTTGGACCACAAAGGCAGAACCGAAATGAGTCTACAGAGGACCTCTGTGATCAGTGTCACCAGCTCGTCCTGCCCATATTGATGTTGCCTAGAATCAGAACTGAAGTTGGAGCCCCTTGGTTCTGTCAGCTGTTCAGTTGAGTTGAAGCGTGGGAGTCAAGCATTGGATGTCTGGTTACTTACCGGGGTCATTACCAGTTGCTGAAGCGCAGTGAATCCTGGGATAGGTTGGGTTGGGAAGGATCCACCCGTTAGAGACTTGGTTTCTCTGGGATGTAAGGAGGCATTTGTCTGCCTTATTTGAAGGAGTCTTGGAAATGGGAAAGCTAAGTCGCCCCATTGTGAGACAGTCAGTCTTCAATTCAGCCTCCGAAGGATGCAGCCTCTGATTTGAGACACCGCTAATGATCCCTTTTCATAAATCCTTGATTACTAATCATTCGGTATGTGAGGTAAAGTCTAACCTGTCCCGTTCTTGTCTTACAGAAAGCCTACTGTGGCCACTGTAGTGAAAGGATATGGGGGCTGGGCAGGCAGGGCTACAAGTGTATCAACTGCAAACTGCTTGTCCATAAGCGCTGTCACAGACTCATCCCTCAGACCTGCCAAAGGCTTATGGTGAGTATTTCATGTTTGTGTTTTGAGCAGCAGGAAGCACAGTGCCAGCTTTTCGTACCTAACACCAACGCAGTCTCCCAGAAACTCTCAAATCCAGATTATGTGTTGTCGACATGTATGATGAAGATTTCATTCCCTCAGCCGGAGAGTATTTAGTGATAACAGGACAAGTGGAGCATGTCTCAGATACTTTAACTGAACATGTCCGTGACTTGCAGTGATTACTCTATATTTCACTTTTTGAGATAAAGCATAATTCTGGTTTATCACAACTTGGGTCTTCATGTTTGTTTGGTCATCATTTCTATGTGATGTTATTTAAATACTGTACATATTTGAGTCATTATTGAGACCATGGAACACGACAACACTATAATCTGAATGGATCAAGTAGTCAGAATATACAGTATCCATTACTATGTTTTCGTTTGAAAATGCATCAACTCTGTTATGGATACGGCTGGCATCCATGGCACGTTTTGAGACACTGCTGGCCCCCTGTTATTTTAAAAACTCCAGGGCTGCGTTTTAGTCTGGACGGGCAGAAACAGAGATGTTTAGAAACAGTGACGGAGACACTCACAAACACTTGCCAACTGGGTCCTTCCTGTCACAACGTAACCTTCGCTGATTTGTTCTTATCACATGACTTGCTTCCAGAAGAAACAACCACCCTTAGCCTCAGCTACCAGTGTAGAACGCATAGAACATGTTGCTGACCTTGTAGCCTATGAAGTTGTACAGAATGGAACACTTAAAACAGGTTGGCTACTGCCTCATATAAAAAAACTACACCGTAAACACCTGAAATGTTTGTAATATCCCTCTTTCATAGACAAACAGAAAGGTCAAAGCTGATGTGGCTCCATAAAATGTGCTGGATATTACCAATGGACAGTGAGGCTTATAATTTCTCATTGGTCACTGTGGACTTCTCCTTCGAATACGTTTGTCAAATTATGGAGGTGTTGTTTTCAGTCTCTGATTGTCAGACTGCTGGTGATTCTTGCATCTCCAAGATCCCTGCAATTAACCTGATGAGCGGATTTAAACATTAATGACAGAAAAGTCTTTGTCACAAAGCTTTAAAAAGAGTTTTTGTGATATTTCTGATCCACTAACTCCATATGCAAAGATTTCTCTACTTTTCAAACCAACGATGACTCAACTGACATCACTCCAGGACATCATTTTTTATATTTTATTTTGAAGCTTTTTTTTTGAGTGATGACAAAGAATTAACAGAAATACTTGACAAACTCAAATATAAACAAGGAAACCACACATAAAACAAAGGAATAAAGTAGTAAGTAAATATAAATAACAGGAGACTGCCTGATATCTACGACGCTCAAGGGTGCAAACAGAGGCAATGATATACTGTATGACATCAGTGAATTATTCGTTGGTGTCGAGGTGACAAGGAATCGATCCCAGATAGCTGAAATTGTTTGAGTTGGTCCTAAAGAACCTTGGTCTTTCCATTTGTGTGACTGAGACCATGTCAGCCCTCCATACTCTGAATGACGGGGGAGAGGATGATTTCCATTCCTTCAAAATAAGTCTTCTGGCCACAGTCATCACCAGGCGTAAGGGATTGTGGCATAGTTACAGTGAGAAGACTGAGAGCAGCGGAAGGTGGCAGGTCCAGCTTCAAATATATATAGGCCTTTGAATACCATTCAAATATTTAACAGGTCCAGAAGGTGTGAAACAGCGTGCCCTCCGTCACATCACATCTGTCACACAATGGTGACACAGATGGAAAGATGTTGTGCAACGTGCTCCAGAGCAGAGCTTTTGTTTCTATTTCTATCACTGCTTTGCTTCTATTGAAGTTAGCATGCTAACCAAGTAGCCCTGGCATGGTCAACCTGTCTTTTCAGTTTCTGATAGCCAGTCACTGTCTGGTCCAGTCAGCTTTCAAGACGTGGTGCGTCTCAGAGGACTTGTTATATCCTCTTGTCTCTCACAACAATCTATTGTGAATCTTTTGGCAAGCAGTCACCACCACCATCTGCTCCCAGTCATAAGCAGAGACGACTAACAAATAACATATTACTCTCGAAGTGTATTCCAACATTGTATTCGTCATGCCTCTTCTCAGTCTCGGACCCTCAATGTGCTTATTTTCATATCGTGATTATTAAGGTGCAGATCAGAATGGTCTGGCACATTTAGTACAACAAGTAAAAAACTGACACCTCCTAAAACAGCCTCAGTTTGGCAGGATAGCTGAGGTAAAGCATCCAGCAATTTATATATGCAAAAAAACAGCCAGATTCACTTAAATGATACAATGCGATGGCCCACATTGTTATATACTGAAATATTCCTGTATCCACTTGTTTGTTAGTGAAGATGAAACCTGACTCACAGCAGAAGGTTTCTTTTCATGAGCAGAAATAGAATCTTACTTTAGAAATGTCGGGCTGACAGCTTGACATGATCGTCATGTGGGCTTTGATGAAGGGAAATGAATGATCCTCACTCTGTTTGAGCGATCAGGCTGCTCTTCACTGTGTGTTGATAAGCAGACTTTCATTTAGTTTTGTTCTGGGCAGTTAATAGTTTGATATGATTGTGCAGTTCACAACTCTGAAAATCTCCCTTTGGACGTTTCCTGTTTGTCTCTGTGGACTGTCTGTCTTCTTCCCTCCCCTGAAACAAGAGCTCAAGTTTGGTGACAGCAGTTCAGTGTGCTCCATGCATAAATCCATTTGACCACAGAGCGTCTGAAAAAACACAAAGATCCACAACTCAATCCTGACTAGAAAATCAATGTAGTCAATACAGTACATGCTGTGGTGCTGGGCGAACTGTCTGCTGTGAGCAGGGGGGAAACCTCCCCTTGATCACAGCTTCAGTTCAGCTCCTTCAGTGCCGGAAGTGACTTAGCAACTTATTGTGCATTAGCTTAGCATCTCTTTAAACACAGACACATTTATTTAGTCCTCATGTCTCATCATTAATTCTTCCAGGAGTGTAGCTATTGGAGTGGGTATTTCCTGGGATATTCGGGGCTGTGTGATGGATATTTAGGTGGATTTCTTCACTTCTTTGTTCAGGATTCAGTCATGCCATCACAGGAGCCCCCGTCAGACGCCAAGAGTGAGGAGGTGGACCTTCCACCAGATGACACAGAGGACACAGATGGAAGTAAGACACTCAAACCTTTTACTGTTCTTAGCTCACATCCTGATATTGTGCCCACATTGTTAATGCAGCCCAGTGAAACACACTCAAATGACACTCAGAGTCTTCAACCAAAGCTCTGAGGAAACCATCAGGAGCCATTATCCTCATACTTGGACAGACATTTAAATTCATCCACTGCCTAAAGTTTGACTATCTGAAGGAATTCTAATTCTGGATAAACTTTATATCATAAAAAAAACATGGCTGCTGCTGGGACCATGTCAAACCTTTCAGGGCGGTCCACTGTTTGTATTCTGGAAGAATTCGCAGTAATGAGTGTCCTGATAACCGAATGGTGAGGGAGGATGCACACAGACAAACATCCCCTCAGCAGCAGGTTATGTCAGGTCATTCCCTGACATTTCCTGTCTCTGTCATAATAAAGGTGTCCATGCCAAAAAATATATTAAGAAGATTGCAAAATAATTCACAGTTACAAGATTTTCACAGATGAAATTTAAAGTAAAAATTAAAAAAAACTTCCAGCAGAATACATTTTCAGCCCAGAGCAGAACTACAGCAGCACTTCAGATATCTCGTCATTAGTCTGTATGGCCAGGTGCAGTCTGTGAGCATCAGGCATCATTCTCCTCCCCTTCTACTTCCAGCATATTACCTTTCTCAAAATCCACTGCACTACAGGAAACAATAATAATCATAATAATAAAGTAACCTCAGAGCTGTAGCCAACAAACTGAAAACGGCGAGTTTTGACACTGATTTGGATCAGGCATTCACTCTGTTGATATGTCTTCACTGTTGTTGTGGCATTTTCTTTGAGGGGAAATAATTTATTTTTTTCTTATATTGTATAATGATAATGATGCAGCAGTGCACACAGCACTGTGAGGTGAGAGGTCAGGATATTGGTTTAGTTTCTTGTTTACTAAAAATGAATCCATGTAAAAATGCCTTATTCTGCATGACCTTCTACAACTACCAGGCCATTATCTAACAGTTTTCCCTCAATAACCTCCTAATTACTGCATATTGACATTAAGTAAGGAGGTTGATTTACATGAATTGTAATCTTAATATGCTTTGCTCAGTATGGGACTTATAAGGTGGAAGTGCCACAAGAATAGTATTTATCCCTTAATAACACTCACTAAATATGTTCTACCTGAGTCGTCTGACTGAAATGAAGATCAGCTTGAAAGGATTGTCTTCGAATTTAATACAAATGTTCACTTTCACGTAGACTCAAAGTTGAACTGATTCGATTTTGGTGCCTGGAGGTCAAAGATCAAGTGTGATAAATGTGATATATCGATTCGAAAGGAATGTCATAAAATCTGCAACAATTTACTCAGACTCACTGATTAACTTTTTACAGTGACCTTATATGAATATTTTTAAAAAGTATGTAGAAATATGTACACGAAAACTGCACTGGTTGGCGGAGGCATACAAACACAGTGCGGTAATTCTAGTTTTTCTTTATTGTCAAAATAAAGTAACCTTTCTCCACAAATGAAGAATAGTTTTTACATGAATTATGACCTTATTCTTGTTATAATACTTTTTTCTTGTAAATTTACAAAACCCCTGACATGGTGGACGTTTGCTTTATGTCAAATATTTTTCAAATCCACAATCTTCAGTTTATTACACCAACACCATCAAAAACACAAAGTCATATACCTCATACAATTTTAGATGTGCAAAAAGAAAAATTGTGTTGATTTAATTTATTAACTGTAGGGTGTGTGTGTGTGTGTGTGTGTGTGTGTGTGTGTGTGTGTGTGTGTGTGTGTGTGTGACAAATGAATGACTAATAGAGTGGTTACTTTGTTGAGACCCTGGTCGCTTCACCTCACATTCACTGTCATCTCTTACATAAGTCAACCATTATCTAAGCACATTACTGCTCCCTGATGGATCCCAGAGAACAGAGTCGTAAATCCTATTATTAGGCCACTGTGGACTGATGTGCTGGACTGTTTGGGGGTCCCTGGCAGGAGATGCGCTGAAACCCCCTGTGGATTGACCTAGTTTGGTATTTCCTGTGGATAGACTGACCTTATTCTGTGTACTGTATCTCCCTCTACTGGCTGGAAATATTACCACATGCTAAACCTATAAGTACAGCTTCATTTCTGTTACAGTATCTGTCTACAAATGATCATAATTCACTGACTCTGTGTATCTGTTTATTGCAGTACCCTTTTTACCACACAACTGTACTGTGGATAAAACAGATGATGCAGATACTGAGGTAAGAAGGGCTCAGTTAATGTAGTACATGTGTTACATAGTTGGGAATAAGATTTTTCTTTTTTACGTAATTTTAAAAGCATTTTTACTTGTTCATCCTTCGGCTTGAACGTCAAACTAAAACTCCCTTACCCCCCTCAGGACATCAAGGCAGTAGTGGATGGCATTGATGGCATTAAGCTGTCCCAGGGCCTGGCTCTCGGGCTGGGTGACTTTGACCTGATCCGAGTGATCGGCCGCGGCAGCTACGCCAAGGTGCTGCTGGTTCGGCTAAAGAAGAATGAGCAGGTGTACGCTATGAAGGTGGTGAAGAAGGAGCTGGTCCACGACGATGAGGTGAGACACTTCAGTACGCAAAGGATGTGAAGCATGTGAGACAGAGAGTGTGATCATGGATACACTTGTAGAGGACATCATAATGAACCATCTCTGTTCTTGTGTCAAGCCAAGATGTCTTCACCTTCTTCATTCAAACCGTAGAGACACTTGAGGTGACACTGGACACTCCAATGTGTTTTTTTGAGCAGTAAACTAAATAAAGTCACTGCTAATCGATTGAATACAGTAATGCTGGTTTTAATATTGCATTTATTACCTAATTAACACCTACATCTATGGGTTGAACACGGCTTATAACGCCAGCTGCTGTTGCAAACAGCCTTGGACCTTGCAGGGCCCCTCTATCCTCAGCCCTGGCTGTGTCTCACACACACACACACACACACACACACACACACACTGTTGTGAGAGAAATGTCGTATGAAGAAGCTTCTTTCCTCTGGAGTTTCCTGGAGGCCAGACTATAGCTGTCTTTTGCCAGGTTTGTTGCTTCAGTTTCAGCACCATCAACCTGTACCAGCAGTGCAAGTGGCTCAGGGCGACCATGGTCTGGGCCATCAGCAAACATTTCTGTCGCATATGTGTTTGCTTTATCTGGAGTCATCGCTAATAGAGAGACAGCGAGCTAATCGATACGTCATAAATAGGGGTGAAGTTACACTTGTTGTGGTTGTGTAAGATAATGTCTCATCTACAAGCCTAGAAAGAACTATTCAACTTCACTCAGCTCAGTGTAGCATCGGGATGAGCCTGAGTGGTGACGACGACGATAAAGATTCTTCTACGTCCTCGGACAAACTACAGCAGTGGTCGTAACTGTCCAGCCTCTGGCCAATAATATCTGTCCCACCAGATAATTTTGATCATTTCATTGTTTTCATTTCATGACTGACATATCAGACTGACAGACATTTACTGGTACTTTCATAGAATCACTTTCTATTTAGCAATTTACCTTCAAAGTGAGAGTGCAAAGTTTATCTTGTTGCTGTAATGCTCTTTATTGGGCCTGAAGATTGTGTCAGTTGTTTCACAGACCTCTGAAATAGCCGACATGTATGAAATGTATGAAAAAAGTAAAGTAATAACAGTAATAAAGCAAATTCACTTTCATTTCTTTTCACTCTGCACCATAGACTTGCTCTGCACACAATGTCCAGCTCAAAACAATACAAAACTATTGTAGAACTGTTTGAGGAGGACTCACTGATTACAAAGAATAATTATTAGAGTAGCTGCAGAGCATCAACACAGGACAGGAGAACAGAGCATTACAAACAGACATGAGGGGGCACAGCACTCGTCTTTGTAAATCCAAAAACCATCTAAAACCATCTTTGTTTCAGTGCAGCAGTTTAATCACATTCACTCTCCACACTGACGCATCCCAGCTTTTGTACAGCACAGCACATGATACACTGAGACCAGCCCGTGTGTGTTGCACTGTGAGGTGGACGACACAGAAGGTGATGGTGTGAAATGTTTCTGTTCTGGTCCAGGGTAGATTAAAGTGAAATCAGTGAGTGTTTCACGGGTGAGGAGATGAATTTTAAATACTTTCTGAATTACACTTTCAGTGCATGTTCTTAGACTTAAAGGATTTCTGCTTTTGTATATTAAATTGCTTTGACCTTGCAGTCTAAGTGTGGAGCAGTCCCTGATGAGCCAGTCAAAAGGAAAGTAGAAAGACTCTGGGTCCCGCAGGCAGGGACTGAGAACTGCCGGACTATGTAACAGGTCTGAGAGTGATCAGAGACCAACAGTGGGATGGAAGTATAATTTGAAGTTTGGGGTGGAAATAGAACAGTGAAGGGTGTATGTGGAGGAGAAAAGCAGGAGTGAGCAAAGAGGAGCTTCTGAAAGGAATGAGGGAAAAAGAAGTGGGACAAGGGGGTAAAGACGGAGTGGGGGTGGAAATGATACAAAAGTGGCAGAGAGCTTATGAATTGAAGAAAGGGGCTTAGGAGGAAGCAGCAGCAAGTGAGTGGGTGACTCACCGGAGATGATAAAAATCCGGAAAACACATCGCCTTTGCAGTGATGAATGATCAGATGAACATGACGGGAAATTCATTTCAGAAAGGGAATGTCTGCATAATGCTCTTATAGCAGGAAACATACATATAATTCATATGCATTATTTATTATTCATGTATATGGAGCTGCATGGCTCAGTCTGGGGTTTCCTTCTTAATTCATAAGCATGCATGAAGAGGAACTTTTACAACACAACATGTTTATTAAAGGGTTAGAGTTTATATGTTTGAATTACATATTCCATTTCCACTACATCCTTTATGTGGTCACATTTAATTAAGTGTTTTCTATAATTTGAAGTTAGTGTAAATAAATCAAATAACCTTTACAATTAGTGTATTTAATGTATATATTTATTGATTTATTCATACTAAAACACTTTGTGTTGAATGTGACCCTTTACTTTAAACTGATTGTTGGTATGTAATGCCACCAGATGGCACTATTGCTCAACTTCTGTAACTCCTTAATAAAAAGCACTCCACAGTCCTGTGGGCTTCTGTAGCCAGAGAAGGATCACTGACCAGAGCGACCACATCATCCAGCATCTGCACAACGAATCCATGAAGACACAGATCGCGCCTCCACTTCTCTCATTAGCTTCTCATCTTTCTTTTCCACACTTCACACTTAAACCCTTTGACAGCCGAGGAACAAAACACACTGGACTCCGTAACAGATTAGGCCTAATAAGAAAGATTTGAGGAACTCTACTTGTTCTACCAGTGTTTTGATTGAACCTCCCATATTTATTTATTCATGACGATATCCATGCACAGTAATTTAATAATTAATCTTTGCAGTGGTCTCACGCCTCACATCAAAGGAAGCTTGTTCGGGCTTTCCACAGACTACAAACTACTGAAGTAGCTGAGATGACCAACAGATGTGTTGTGATGGCGTATTCCACATTATTCTAAATTCCTCCAGTAGTAATGAGTTGACCAGAAGGAATTTGGTATCATGCGCTCAGGATGGTGTCTTTATTGTGGTGTTATGAATTAACAATATGGTGTTGGAGCGCAGCAGAGGGGGCTCCAAATCTATACTCTGTTGCAGCTCACATAAAACATTAACTATCATCAACTTAACAACACTTCGCAAGCAGCATAAAACACCCTGGCCTCTGGCAGAACACTGACACCTCTATAACTAAGGTCTGAGCAATTAAATCCACAAATGACTGATGATGAAAAGCACTTTTATATCATCCCTGTGTTTCATGTTTTTTTTTTATTGTGAAGCACTTTGTGACATCTGATTTAAAAAGAAGACAGGAGAATAAGCTTAACTTACATGTTAATATATCAGTAATCATAATACGAATAATCCAATAATATATAATATAAGGTTAAACCACTGGTCCAAATGGATATGTTATAATGTATAGCTTTATTTTGTCGGAAATTGTTTAAAGCCATCATCACACCACTGCTGAGGTTTTATATCAACCACATAACCATAACAACAGCCAATAAATCAAGCAGGTGAGTTCCGTATTAGGACATTTTCCAAGGTGTGGCGCTGTACGACACAAAGGGGACTCAGGAAGTAAGATTGACTGTCCATGCCCACAGTGTTGTGAGCAAGCTCAACATTCAGATGATACATTAAAAACTAGTTCACGCTCATATCTTCCATTTTTTTAATCTCTTGAAACCCACATGTGGATATTACAGACACAGTCAAGATAACATATAGAAAATCAAGTTTTGACGAAATAGAAATGCTATACTTTGTTAGAACAGGTAGAAAATTGGCTAAACGCCAATCACAACAATTTTTCCACTGAACCAAACACAATTCAAACACCAAGCCACTAAATTAGCATGGTGACAGAAAATAAAACCAAACTATCCATGTCCACAGAGCTGGAACATGCTACCTTGCAGCTACAACTGCACGACTTGTAACAGACGGGCAGCATGAAAGACGGGCTTTCATGCTGCCTCGTTATCTTTTGGCACACCATCCAAGGTCCAGCCACTTAACTGGGACAGCCCAAGGAACCAAAGAGTCTCAAGATAATCCTGACTGAGAGGAGAACTCTCTGCTCCGACTATATTTTTCATCTGTGGTGTGGTCTGTCTCTATCTCTGTCTGAGAATGTGTATTGATCAGACAAATTGATTGCTAATACATTATCTTTTCTTTGTGCTGTCTCCGTCTGTCTCTCCTCATCTCTGCAGGATATTGACTGGGTGCAGACAGAGAAGCATGTGTTTGAGCAGGCGTCCACCAATCCATTCTTAGTAGGCCTCCACTCCTGCTTCCAGACAGAGAGTCGGTAAGAGCGTGATAAGGCTGACACTGCCCACAGCACCTGACGGTGGTTTTCAGTACTGTGAATTATTTCTTTCTGATGCTGCTCTGCTCTTCATTAATGGAGGAGGTTGGTCTTTACCATTACATTATCATTGACAAATCCCACAGGAATACATTTCTCCTGCTGAGTGCTGTTCATTTAGCAAATGTTTATTATAAGAGGTGTCACTAATACTGATATGTTGTCAATAACTCATACAAGGGGAAGTGGGGGGGGGTAACAATGTAAATAATTTTGGCCCAGGCAGAGAAATAGGAAACAGAAACAGATTTAAAGGTGCAAATTAAAGTTTTATTTAACAAAACTACTTCCTGAAAAGAAAGCAAAATGAATTTGCAACAAAATCCCCACCTCACTCACAGTTCTGAGCTGGCAAATGGTCCACTGGCCCAGTTCCTCTGTCCCTCCTGGTCTTAGTAAGTTTGCCAAATTGGTCTTCTGACATTTCATAATAGTAAGAGCTTTGAGTCACTAGGGCTCCACCAGTCTGAGAGATGACAAATAACTTCGCGGAAGAGCTCCTGGTTGCTTCAGGCAGTGATTTACCCTCAGTTTTTATCTGAATGAAAAAATCTAGGTGTGATTCATTTTGAGAATGTTTTTTGTCGAATATTTGACGTGATGAAGCTCTAAAGCCCAATACCAGCTTCCCATTTTCATTTTTCATCCATTGTCTCAAAATTATGTTCAAAAAGTATAAAAACATACACAAGCCAAACAATGTGGTGAAAAGTGAACATGCATTGAACACAGCAAATGCAGTTTATTCCCCTCAGCTCATCAAACCAGCAGAGGAGTGTAAACTCTGAACCACGAAGCTGACGGAGCTCAGAGACGTCTGTGTGAGATGGAATACAGAGTCATGAAAAACAACCATTTTTATCGCAATGAATCAAAAAAACTTATGTGTGACAGAAATGCAACCTTTCAATGTCACTGGAGCTGTGTGGCCACAAAGACAATAATTGTTTGAAGGGAAATTCATCATTTTTACTTGTGGTTACGTCTTATCTACAGGATATGTTGTAATGTATCATATTTTCCTCATTTTTTAAAACTGTACTCACAGTATTAATGGTATACTGATGGATTTTCCCATCATGCTCTGATTTCCAGGTTATTTCTGGTGATTGAGTATGTGAACGGCGGGGACTTGATGTTTCATATGCAACGACAAAGGAAGCTCCCAGAAGAACATGCCAGGTAAACGTCCAGGTGTTAGAACATCTGTTGCCATGATAAGAAGGTCCCTGTCCATACATTAAGGATCTATATTAAGATAAAGTAGTCCGTAACCGTGTTACTTTCATATTTGTCAGGATCTTAACTCACATTGATTGATTATTGGTGCATGTCATTCACAAACATACAGTTTTTCTTTTGGCTGCTCTCAAATGTCCACACGATTCGAAAATATCAGGATCATGTGGACGCAGTGCTGTGAGGCCTGCAGTTTTAAGCTGCCTGACCAGGGCATGACATAGAGAGCTGGTGGGTTTATAAGTGGATTTTGGTTAAGTTGACATGGCACAGTCAGCTGCACAGGAAACACATCTATGCAATTTGGGCTGACTGATTGAACTTCCTCCAGATGGGTTTCTTTGTTTTTCACATGATGTATTTATGTGAAAGGGCAGTGTGCACTGCATTGTAGTTGTTGTCTTTTGGTCAGAACAAAAAGCCTCAGTCTCATGAAAGCAGCTTGTGTTTTGTGGTGTGGGACAGCTGGAGTGTGTGTGTTTGTGTGTTTGTGTGTCTGTGTGTGTGTGTGTGTGTGTGTGTGTGTGTGTGTGTGCTTGTGTGTAATGGCTGCAGATACTTTTGTATTCACCTTCTTTGCACTCAGTCTGAAATGTTCCTCAACAGCATCTTCACAAACTTATGTTTCATCCAAAGTTTGAAGTAGCAGCTCCTCATGGACGCGGCACTACAGACAGAATTGAACTTAGCACGTTTTTCTCCACCTCTGAGAAATATAATGAGCACCCATAATTCATTGTGCCTGTCTACTTACAGGGCACTCCAACTGATAAATGCTGGATCAAAGGCTTAGTAATTTAGAGAGGCACTGTTGGGCCCCAATCGGCCCCTGCAATCTGTATTCTGGAGACAGTGGCTGCACATATGCAAAACAGCATGTTAATCACTCATAATGATTGTACATATTCATGAGCAGTGCTCTTACCGAGAGCCCTGCTGCATTCCCCCGCGCAGTGGGGGAGGCGGGCCGGTGGGCGGCGGATGGTGCGGCTGATAGGACGCACCTTCCATCAGTCTGATGCCAGCAGTGAAACAAGGGTGCACAATGAGGCCTGTCACAGTGAGAACGTGGGGGAGCAATGTGGGATTTGTGATTCCTCCGTCAAACATCCTCTCCACCACAGTCTCTCCCTCAGTGTTTGACAATCGTGGATTTTCAGCAGGCAGACAGAGAGACGCTCATCAGTGTTAATGAAGGCTTATCTCCCAGAGACAGAAAACACACAACCTACACATGCAGAGGAAACATGCCACTGACTCACCACAGATACACAACAAGTACATCTCATCACTGGAAAAGCAATAGGCTGTAAAGTCTAACGTTGACCTGAAATATGTTTCTATGGAACACACCGGTTAGAGGTGAACAGATCTGAACAGATCACTGACAGTGTGCTGAACATTTCCCATCATTTAAACAGGCCACAGAAGCATCCCCTAGAGGCTGCATTGGTCCTTACATTCACCACCTGAAAGTATGCAACACAATGAAGTAAGCACAGGGGAATGAAAATAGATAGTTAAATTCACTCCGTCTCACCACACGTTAAGATAAGATAAGATAAGATGATCCTATATTGTTAGTGTTACAGCAGCAAGGAGCCCTTCAAAAGAAGAGAGTAGAGTAACAATAAGGAAACATACTATAAAGAACTTAGGTTCATGGTTTCACACACTCACATCAGTATGAACGTTTTTTTGTTTTTTCTCGTCACATTAGTTAACTAACGTTTTCGGTCAAAATCTTGTTCATTGGTATATTTTTGACACTACATTGCACATTTAGTTTACACTGTTTTGTCCACATTAGTTTTAATTGTCTTTCAGTTAAGTTCTCTGCTCTGGCATGTACTGTACACGGTGTGTCAGATGATAGGTGACACATCATCTTCTGCATTTATTTCTGCTTCTTCGTAGATTTTATGCTGCTGAAATCTGCATCGCTCTGAACTTCCTGCACGAAAAGGGCATTATCTATCGTGACCTGAAGCTGGACAACGTTCTATTGGACCACGAGGGACACATCAAGCTCACAGACTACGGCATGTGCAAGGTAAAAGACGGATTGATTTTCCAGTAGACTGTGTGGATGGCTGGCACAGGGTAATCAATAATGCAGTGGTCTAGTATTGACGGGAAGTACTAATAGGGCCTCTACCTTTTTTCCGCCGTTCATGTAAATGGACTTATCACATCATTATTCTCCTTCCCAGGAAGGGATCAGACCAGGTGACACCACCAGTACTTTCTGTGGGACACCCAACTACATTGCACCTGAGATCCTGAGAGGAGAGGACTATGGTTAGTGCACGAGTTAGAGTCACACTGGGTTGGAACAGTTTACTGATGCCATCATGTATATTTGTGGCTACAAACAATGAAAGACGGACTGAAATAATCACTAGCCAACTGTGCTGTGGAATCCCAACATGCATTGACACACATGAAAGAGAAGATCTACAACAGAGACTAAGAACACTCACATTTGTGATTTATACTAACATGATTGAAACAATATGGAAAGCAGCATCCTGCTGAATGTCTATCATGCAACACATACATGTATATCTCAATGAATTTCTTGCAACAGGCTTCAGTGTGGACTGGTGGGCTCTGGGCGTGCTGATGTTTGAGATGATGGCTGGCAGGTCCCCGTTTGACATCATCACTGACAATCCTGACATGAACACAGAGGAGTACCTCTTTCAAGGTGAGGCAGAGAATTTTCCTTTTAGCTTCCCTGTAATCTCCACAGAGCAAGAGGAGCTTTCATGGCACCACTGTGCAGGGAGGAACTGGGGAAGAACTCATCTTTGCTAAAACATTTAGACGTTTTAGTGAAGAGAGTTTCTGACTATAATAAATCAGATTTTGTTTGAAGTTATTCGGCATCGTTCTGTCTTTTGGAAGCAACTTTAGCAAAAACTTATTTTCAAAAATGATGGCTGAGGCTGAGACAACTGGCCACATTGACAAGGTTCTTCAGGATAGAGCAAGCTTTTTAAATATTGGTAGCATCTGCTTGGTGGATATGGAAAATTCCAATTACCGTTGAGAGAACTTTAGAGGTAAGGTCAAGTTGCTAGTTCGCTCTAAATAGTACAGCCAGGGCAGATTTTGTCATTAGATGGGAATGTCATTTTCTGGCAACCCTAGCCATTAAAGAATTTCGACTCTGTACTAAAAACATTAACCTGCTGGTGGCGCTAGAGGATGCAGATGAATGCATATTCATGCACAACACAGTTATCTTTCTCTTAGCTTAAGTTTTGAAACATTTCTGTGCATTAACATTAATCACTGGTTATAACTAGTTGTATTTCACTCTGACTGTGGTTAGAGTGAAACAGTCCTGTTAGTGGCCAGGAGATGCATTGCCCAGTTCAGTTAGAGAGACAGATGCACGTCAACTTAACATTTCTGTTATTTATCTGCAGATGCGGAATTTGCATATTGAGAGCATAGGCTCTGAGTAAATACTAAAGTTCTACTGATTTGAGATGATCAAAGTATAATTTGCTTGTTTACTTTCTACTGTGAAAGAAAAGCTAATAAATAATAAATAATTTTCCATGTGCATGTACAGTTTTTATGTGTATAATTATTTGTGGTATATCATAACTGATCTCAGGACTGTTTAAGCTGAGTCAAGGTCAATTTGACAAGCACACTTATGGCTAGCTACAGAAAGTCACTCATCAAAGATCCCAAGATTATCCTCCATACGCAAACAGCCAAATAATTGTTCATTGACAAACCCCAGTCTTTGTCAACAGGACACAGCCAAACAGATGAAAGTATCCACTGTTTATCAAACTAGCCTCCAGAGATAACAGCCTACTGTGACCAAGAGAGGGCAGTACATTATCAAACAATCAATCAATCAAATTTTATTTGTATAGCCCATATTCACAAATCACAATTTCTCTCATAGAGCTTTAACAAGGTGTGACATCCTCTGTCCTTAACCCTCAACAAGAGTAAGGAAAAACTACCAAAAACCCTGTTAACAGGGGAAAAGAACGTAGAAACCTCAGAGAGAGCCACATGTGAGGGATCCTTCTCCCAGGATGGACAGAAGTGCAATAGATACCACATGTAATGGAGAACGTCAGAGAAATAGTAAATACAGCATTGGTTAGAGTAAACAGTTTGTAGCTTGATGGAACGTAAATGAATTGAGGAATTATTGTCAGTAATGGTATCTGAGTATCTGAGGAGACATATTGTATTTCAAGCAGTCGTAGTTGTTGTAGTCATAGTCCACGATCAGGATACACCAACACGATCGGATGCCATCATAGTCCACAATCCATCGTCGTGATCCACTGCCACCGTCAGGATCCACCATCAGCTGCCACCTCGATCATTATGGGATGAATGCAAACAGGCAACAACAGGCAGAGTGCTGTCCATTACACTGTTGTATTTGATCTCAAATTTTATCTTTAGTGCGGTTGAACACAGTGGTGGGCTGACCAACTGACTTTGCAATAAAAAAAGAAAATGTCCTTGTTAAACCAGAAATCAGAATTAGAAGTGGGTTTACACATACAAGGAATTTGCTGTGGTATGTTTTGTGCAAGCATGAATATAAAAATGTAAAAAAATAATTCAAACGATATAAATATAAAAATATTGTAAGCATTACAAAAACGAATTTGTTCAATATAAATTGGACAGGGATTTGACAATGGATGACTGTATGACCCTTAATGGCCATGGAAAGTTCCAGTTTTACAGTCTCAGGTGGGGGCAGTTATGCAGTGCAGTGATGGGGTCCCGAGCTTTGTTGACGAGGCCAGCAGCAGTCGGGTAAAACAGTTTTTGTATTGTGAGGTTTGTATTGTGAGAATAGAGGAACAGTGGGAAATATGAATATTGAGAGCACATGGCAGTCCGTTTGCTGCCATTTAAACAAAAACATGTTAATTTAAACCTGTGTGACGCATAACTGATATTCTGAGAGTGGTTAAAACAGGCTCCATGTCATAGAAAAACAATCAGCTCCAGGCTGCAGAGGATTAATGTCTGTGCAAATCCAGGCTTAGATGTGTGTGTATGGTATGCTCCATTAAAATGAAAGAATCTCAGAAAACAGGGCTAATTTTATTTCTCTTCAATCTTAATTCGTTTTAGTTTGCTGTTTTGTATTACTCTGTGACCATTTGAGTCTACTTAATATCGTGTGTGCGTGCGTGCGTGTGTGTGTGTGTGTGTGTGTGCGTGTGTGTGCGTGCATGTGTGTGTGTATACGTACAGTGTATATGTATTTCCACCTTATCTATAAGAGTGATTTGTGTGTTTGTAATTCAGCTGACAGATTGCATGTTCTGTTCAGGCTAACTGAGCTCTCCATCAGACGGTTGCAGAAATGCATGCTGGTCTGGTGAGTCTTAAAGGATGGTGGGATTGTGATGGCTGTGTCTGCTGGACATGGATCTTAGACTATGTTCGCACTACAAACTTGAATGCTCAATTCAGTTGTTTTTTTTCTAGATCAGATTATTTTATATAGCACATTATCTTTTAATTGCGGCCAGGATCAGTCTCCACTGTGAACTGGACATGGCCATGATGTGACCCACATGCGCAGAAGAACAACAAGATGTCGCAGACCAGTTACGACCCCTCAAGTTTTGCTTGTGCAGACGTTTCCCCCCAAGCAAGGTCTAAAACCTCACTGTCCCTCAACTGACTACCTCCTTCACAGCTGTCTTCCTTGTTTGTTCCCTTTGCCTGCACAAAATGATGAGAAAAGCTAATGTTGAGTGACATAAAAGCCGCATTGAATTCTGATACGGGACAGTCTGTATATGATTTAGAAAAACATCTGAAAGCAGCCCAAATCTGATTTGAGATCAGAGTCGTTGTGATCTGTGCTGTTTACACTTTCACTAAAGAATCAGATCTCGGTCACATGGGGGGAAATCAGATTCTAACCCGCTGTGTGAATGTAGTCTTACTTTCCTAAAAGTTGCTGTAATTATATGTGTGCGGGTTAATATTTTAGAAAAAATGTTTTATGATGTACTACAGTCTACAAATGCTGCTCACCCGCCCTTCATGAGCAGTGGAAAATGTGGCAGTACATCACAGCCTCTGTCACAGCTGAGATTTAGGGTGCATTTGTGGAACAGTTGAGCATTTCTCCATGAGCTGGCAGCTGATGGCATTTTCATTGAAACAGGATGGCGCCAAATAACCACACTGAGGCATCTGATAACATAAGCCTCTGTCTTCCATCAGTCAAACTGCAAAGTAAGTGTTCAAGTTACACTATCAGGAAATATCACCCGAAACGTTCTGTTTTATGATCACATTTCCTGTTGCTAGGACACTGTTTTATGTTATGATTCTAATAGTATAAGGAGACGGATGTAGACACTGGTTACTGGCAAAGACTCACATGGCGAAATGAGACAAGGGAAAATGACCAGAGACTGGACTCATGCGTACATGTGGGTGTGTTGCTGCCTTCATTGTAAAGCATAGACTGTAGCGAAGACCAAATGTAGCATACGTGGTATCACATGTGAAATCAAAATAGAGGTGGTGATGCATCAATTCATTTTACTATGTTAGCTTTCTGGAGCCACTATGCTTTAATATCATCTTCATTCAATGATGAGACAGGGGGACATTGTCTAATGAGGTCAGGGGTTAGAGGTTTCCATATCTGCACTATTGACGGTTTGAAGATTTCTTCAGCGGAAAGTAAATGCAGTGAAACTTTCCCACCTAAACCCAAGCGGATATAAAAAGCCCACATATCATCAACATTAAAACATCATGTATGATGCAGGGTTGATGGTGAATGGCATTTCCAAATTTGTTATTATTGTTTCCCAGCCTATCATTACCCACAATACTTTCCCCCATGTGTTCTTCAGAAACATTCACCTGAATCTTCCTATATTAACGTATCTGAACACCCCTCATCTCACCCTCTCCTTCCCAACACGAAAGAGAACCTGTGGTGAACTTCAGTTGTCATGAAAACTCAAAAGGTTTTAGTTTGTCCAGTTTGGACAACAGTAAAAAACATGGTGGCCTCCACAGAGAGAACCCCCCCTCCATGTAAATATAGAGTATTTAAATATAAAGGGCCCATTTTATGGTAAAGAACAATTCATACAATTTAGATGAAACACACCAGTGAAAACATCACTAGGATTATTTTTATATTCAATTTCTGCCAAAAATCCCTTTCACCTAAATGTTACACGCTGGACCTTTAAGCTTATCAGTACCAGAACTCAGCTCAATCGGAAGGCACTTCTCAGTGCCCACATAACGTGGGCGGCTTGGACCAAAGGCAACAAACTGTGGGTGTGATCACACATTATAGAGGAACATCTATAATATGTGTGCTTCTATTTGCATTTGTGTTTCTTCAATCCATATGGTCCCCTTACCCCCGCCTCCCTCCCTCTCTCACGCAGCACCCCACATGGTCCTCTATGACAGAAATTCCTCCATGCTACTGTAGCCTTGTATGACGCATCATGTCTCTGCTGGGACTTTCAGGAGAATTGTGCAGCACTATGGCTAGCATCTGGTCTTACCGGCAGAGCACCAGGTTCCTGGAAGCGTGCCTGCCAACGGAAACCAACCCCCCACCATAGGAGCCACCCAGCCATATGCCACCTAGCTAGACCCTGCGCTAAGACCTGCTTTGGGTATCAGTGCTCCACATGTCAACTCCGAGAGCTTTATACAGACATGGAGAGTGAGACAGGCAAATATTTGATTTAGTGGTGAAGCCAGTGACAAGATGGGATTCACATTAAAAGAGGCTTTTTAATAAATATAATGGAATCATACGCAAATCAATTTCCTATTTTTTCCCAGAGCTTTCATAGTCAACAAGTCTTCTTCATGCTGGTAATAAGAAGCAGCAAGATGATGGTGCATGTTTGTAGAATATAATACAACACAGACTTTAGACTGTTCATTTTCTTTGGCTGACTGGATATATAAATATAAAACATGAATCTAGTAACATGTAGAATATGCATGAAGACAAGATAACAAGTGTGACTCTGTAGCCTTAAAGACAAAACCTAGGGTAAAAAAACGGTCTAATAATGCTTATTGTGGTAAATGCTTTGCAGTGGACGTGTGTGACAGCGCTGGGGCAATCATCATAACAACAACAACCAAACGCAGTTTCCTGCTCCGATCACACAACATAGCAGGCTTTTTTGCTCACATGCAATGCTTACTGTTAATGCAATGCTAAAAGGAAGTACAGAGGAAAGATGAACACACATCAGGTTCAGCATCTGCCTCTGCCTCCTCTCTCCAGACTCATTCTGACGTTTGATGTCACACAGGTCCTGTGTTTGCATAGACTAAAATTTGTTCTCAACTTCTACTACATAATGTAAGCAAAGCAACAGAATCACAATGTAGTTCGGCACTGTTTGATGTCACCACTCTGAGACCATGGCTGTGTCTGATATCACCCACTCATTGACTAACCCCTAATTCACTAAATAAGGTCTTCTCGAGGACTATATAGTGAGATCATCGGCAGATGAAAAGAAAATGCTTGGCATTTTCTTTGCATCGTCGATGACACCATTGTCGCAGACAACATTGGCCGGTGGAAAATCCAACAGTACATTTTTAAGGTTTTTAAATGTTTCTTTTACACTATATTAATCATTTATAGAGAAAAGCATGATACACCATCGTTAAACGTAGAAATAAACTTGTTCACCTCAATTTGTGCTGTGATGCTCTGCTCTTATTGACATTTGTATGAGAAATCGGGTTGTTCTTGCTGCCCTCTGACACTTAAAGGTTCAATGTGTAGAATTTAGTGACACCTGAGGGAAAAGTAACAGAGACACACACACAGACTGAGCTGCTGTGTGTGTGTGTGTGTGTGTGTGTGTGTGTGTGTGTTAGTGTCTCTCTCTCTCTCTGCTGACGTTTCTGACTCGCTACAGTTTAAAAGTTTATTTGTTTGTCACAGTTTTAACACTGATCATCACATAGTGATCAATACTTTGTAAACTTAGTAAAGATTGCGGCGTGCTCTGTTTGGTTTGACATGGTTCGCACAGCGTGAATGACAGAGAGGATGTAAATTACTGACAGTGAAATGTTTTTTTTTTACTTTTCACAGTCCAAAGATGTATGAAAATCCCCCACATTAAAACTGACGGTGGACATAGTGGAGCTGTGCATGGCTCCCTGTTGTCTGTCCTGAGAGAGAGCTTGCGTACCACTGTTGGTGGGCCTACCATAGTTTGAGAATCAGTGATGTAGGGTATTAAACATGTCCCTAAACATTCGGACAGCACTACAAAATGGCGAAATCACTATATAGTGGACTGTATAGTGATTAGTGACTGATTTCGACACAGCCCAAAGAAGTGATGGCATGTACTATAGCAAAGAACTATAACTAAAACAAATAGATTGTAATTATTTAATGCAAATTAATTTTCATTTAACTAAGATAAGAAAAATATAAATTATTTTAAGAAAGCTGGCAGGACCTAAATGCCAGACCAACAAAAAAAGAATATCAGATTAATAATACAAAAATTAAAAGTCAGTGTGGTGCAGAGGAGGGAGCTCATCTGAATGCCAGGATGAGCGTTGCTTTTCTATTTTATCTGAGAGGCAGTGGCCAGCTGCCTCCACTTCACTGATGGCCTCCAGCTCCACCCAAACCAGACACCTGCAACACAAGACAGGACACACACACACAAGAACAACACAACATACACAAGGCCTGGCACAGGCCCTGGGGCCGGCACAGACAAGTGTATTACTTTTTGAAGACTTGGTCCAATTTGTACAGACGTTGTCATCAGAGAAACTCCAAACCCTCCACATTTGTGTAATTGCTGCTCATTTACCGAATGTAAAACAAATATGTAACATTTGCTTCACCAGCTAAATTGTGAAATTCTGGGTTCTCATCCCGAGTGAGTCGATTAAATAGCACATCGCAGCAAATGATTGTTGCTGCTATAATTACCCAGAGGTGGTTGGTGTTTATAGAAAACATACTATACCTCATGCTCCTCACAGTTTCTGTTCTGTTGTTTTTTTGGCACAGCAGCCGCTTTGCGATGTTGGAGTTTAATGTGGAGTATCCACATGTGTAAGAACACACAATGGTTCCTCACTGTGAACTGAGGTTGAGAAGAGAAAGCGCAGGCACCTCAGCACATAGCACTAACATGTTAAGGAGCACTGCATCCTTGGATTTAGGTTTTGAGGGAAAATATTTTTCAAAGCGTCTTTGTTCTGATCAGTATGACATTGTTGAGCTGTAGCAGTCTCAAGGCTGTGTGTACAAAGTGAGTGAAAGAACAGAATAGGGTCGTCTCCCTTCCTTTGACGCCCACCCAGCAGACATGGTCACCCACAGGCAGTTTGAAAGAATCATCCTCCTCCCTACTCACGATTGTCCTTTTATTCTCTCTCTCTCTCTCTCTCTCTTTGTTGCTGTCCTTCTTCTCTTTTTGCCAACAGTTATTCTTGAGAAGCCCATTCGCATCCCAAGGTCTCTGTCGGTGAAAGCTGCCAGTGTGCTTAAAGGTTTTCTTAACAAGGTGAGAGCAGTCCACTCCCAATCAGGACTCTGTGTGTGTGTGTGTGTGTGTGTGTGTGTGTGTGTGTGTGTGTGTGTGTGT